TGATCGGCCATGTAATTACTTAGTTACCAAAAAAAATTGTATTTTAAAAGAACTGCAAAAAATATATATTAAGTTGTATATTTTATATATGATTATGTGTATATATTTATTAATTGAATTTAAGCCAATTTATTTCATCCATATATACAAATCATATCCATGGATGATCAAAAAACAAAATTTAAAATAAGATGACTGCGAACAAAAGAAATAGTGATTTTCCCTTTTGAACAAATTTAATCACACCTATCATCATGAAAATTAATCAAATTCCCTGATTTTCTTTTTTTCGCACGAATGCTTGTTTAATTTCAAAGTCTAATGAATGAAGAGTGAACAAATAAATTCTTTTCCCACTTAATGTGTCCAAATTCCACAGTTAAAAGTCATCAAACGTTTTATCATGTGTAAAATGCTAGGAAAGTCTCGCAAATAACGACATTTCGAGTTTCATATTCTAAAAATCGACCGGGCATGGCCCGCCCGCAAATGGAGTAAAACACTTGGCCTAAACAACCAACTTGATGAGGGGAAATCTCTATTAAGCTCCTTAAGCGAGACAATGAGAAAAAATACTATACTATTGATTGGGGTCAAAATAATAAATGAGGACACATGCATGGCTTGAAAAAGGAGGAAAAAATGGGGGCAAATTTGAATAAATCGTGGCTTACCTAATTTGTCTTTTTTGCATGTGTTAGTTGTGACCAGATTCAGTGAAGGAGAAGCTAGCAATTTTTGGACACAAAATATTGTTAAAAATTATAGATTTTATTTGTAAGTATATAGTTATATATAATTCCAATGTTTTGTGGTGCTGATGCCAACCGGACTCGGAACCAAGGCGGGAATGACTATGCATTACGATAGATTATGTTAGTTTTTTTGTTTAAATTATAAATATGTTTAATTCAAATGTGTTAGTTATATGTTAGTTATTGTTTGAATATTTGAATGTTGTTTGTGTGTGTTATAAATAGGACCTTTGTAAGCATGTTTGGAATGGAGTTTTATAAAATAAAAATTAAGAAAGAAGCTCGTCTCCGAGTTATTTCTTCGTGAAAAATCGAGGCCGATAGTGCAGGTTTTTCACTTAATAATGTGTCGACCAAGGCCGTTAGTGCGGATTTACACATTTTATCGTGTTCGAACCAAGACCGTTAGTACGGGTTCTTACACAAAATCGAGTTCCGATACACGATTTTCATCATTTGTGCTTTCATTGAGAGAAAAACGATTTTTTAACTCACGGCAAACTCTAAAAGAAAATTAAAAAACAATTTTTTTTTTGGAAATGAACTCTAAAAAATTCAATTGAATACACATGCAACTTTTCAAGCACTCAGGGGCGGACCTAGGCGGGGTCCCTGTGCAATTTCTAAAAAGAATTAGTATATATATAATTATATTGTAAAATAATTACAAAGAAATCTTCTTAAAATAGTTGTTTGCATTATGTATTTGTATTATGTTGTAGGCAACATATATAAATGAGTTAAATCAATTTTCTACAAAATTCAACATTAATTTTGATACATATTGAATTTTAGGTGTTCTTAAATTATAAATATATGTTTAAAATTAACTACTAAATTGTGTTTGTCATTGATTTTTTTTAACTAATAAAATATTTATCTCTATTATAAATAAGTCCACGAATGGTAAGAATATCCAATTCGAAAGAAAAAAAATATTGGTATTTGAAAAAAATATATTTAATGAGATTTGAACTTATGTAATTATGCGTAATATAATATATAAAAACATGCAGAGAATAAATATCATTTTTTTTTAACTTTGTAAAGATTACATTTGTACAGTCTTGTAAGTCTGCATCCGTCCCTGCAAGCACCCAAAGGTTGGATTAGTGACGAACTAATTTAAGTGCCCTAATCATAAATTATCGTACAACTAATGATAGAATAAAGCCTGGGATCCCACTACAAATACGGCGGTTAAACAAAATAGCTATGAAGACACGTGACCCGACCAATCCCTTTACGTCGATAAACCAATTGAATATATATACATGCAACTTTTCAAGCACTCCAAAGGTTGGATTAGTGACGAACTAATTAATTAAGTGCCCTAATCATAAATTATCGTACAACTAATGATAGAATAAAGCCTGCGATCCCAGTACAAATACGACGGTGAAATAAATAGCTATGAAGACACGTGATATTCATAATCTATTCTTCGGTCCAATGGTCCCGACCAACAGTGCTACTACCGTGTGCCTAGGTACACCTAGCTAGGTGTGCCAGGGCAATTTAAAATGAACATGTTATGTTACAAAATGAACATGTACAAACATGATTTGCACATGTTCATTTTACAACATAACATGTTCATTTGTGACACACCTAGCTAGGTGTACCTAGGCACACCTAAGTATTTGCGCCCAACCAATCCCTTTTAGCACTCATCAAAGTTCACATCCTTTTAGGGGGCCGACGCGTCTGCACATGCAATAACGTGACCAATCACCAAGCACTAAAAGCCACTGGGCCCTACTTTTACCTTCAATAATCAAACCAAAAAGTTAATTTTTGACTGTGAATTAGTACGGTCATCTCTGGTCAGATCCCTTTTTACTGTCCTATTCTGTTCTGTTCTCACATTTTGGATCAAGAACANATCCTTTTAGGGGGCCGACGCGTCTGCACATGCACCTAAGTATTTGCGCCCAACCAATCCCTTTTAGCACTCATCAAAGTTCACATCCTTTTAGGGGGCCGACGCGTCTGCACATGCAATAACGTGACCAATCACCAAGCACTAAAAGCCACTGGGCCCTACTTTTACCTTCAATAATCAAACCAAAAAGTTAATTTTTGACTGTGAATTAGTACGGTCATCTCTGGTCAGATCCCTTTTTACTGTCCTATTCTGTTCTGTTCTCACATTTTGGATCAAGAACACGTGAGCAACATCGACGGCCACATAATGACTATAATACCACCTCAGGACATAGCCAGAAATATTTTTTATCTTAGGCTGGTAGAACCTAGTACCGATTTACTAGAGAGTACAACTCACGTGGGTTCGTAAAAAGTCGATCTTTACTCGTTCATATAATAAAACATAAAACGAAAATTTAATATAAATGAGCAGAACTTAATTGGTTACGCTCGATTTATTAAATAATCCGAGCCAAACTTGCTCATTTATTATACGAGCACAAGTTCAAACACGACATATTCAACTCAATTCAAAGTATGATATTTTTCTTAATGGTTTAATGTAAATTACCAAATAAATAAAAAAACAAATTATTAAACATATGTCATTTTGTTTTAGTAAATTAAAAACACCTTATGTTATACTTTTAGGTGTATTTATACAAGATCGATTGCATTTTACACAAACTTGTAGATTTTTTTGTTGATATAGTAACTTTTTATTCAAAAAATAGTACTGCCGCGTAATTTCTTCTTGCCTACTTAAATTTGATGTATAAAAATAATTCACTTATTTCAAATACTACTATGAGATGAACGTTTTATTATTAGACAAGTCTATCCAACATCCTTGTTATGTGATATTTCACTTAAATTGTGAAAGTTCAAATGTCATTTTATTGAATAGACATGTTAACCCAGCATACTTGTTAGATGATAATATTTTAGTTAATTCCAAATGTTGTTTCATTGAATATGCTACGCAAATTAATGAAATTAAATTCATATTTCATATATTCAAATATCATTTATTTAAATGTTAGCAAGTAATTGATATATTTCACATATAAAGTAATATAAATAATATAAATTAATGGTGTCTTAAACCAAACAGTAAAAAATAAAAACAAAAAAGAATAAATGACAAAAAACTATAACCACAAAAAAAATACATATGAAAAGTTCGAGTCATGTCATAAAATATGCATAAATTTTTGGTTTAATATAAAATAAATTTAAATTAATATGGACTAAATAATTTTATAATGAATTAAATTTACAAAACATGGGCTAATTTTACTACTACATATTTATATAGAACAAATTTTTTTACTACATATTTATATATCAAATTAATCATCTCTTGATGAGCTTCGATTTAACATCCATACTGTATGTGTAAAAAAAAATACAATATATTCATTTTATAACAATAATAAATTATTTTTTAATATTAATTAGAAAAATAAAATTATTTACTAATTAATATATTTATATTTCAAGTAGTTATATATAAGTTATAAATTACTATAATATAACACATGTAAGTCCAAAAGTAACATATGTCATTTAAAAATATATAATAATATATATTTTTTGTAAAAAAAGTAAATAAAATTTAAAATAATTTTTTTTATTAATTTTATAATTTAAGAATAATTTTTTTAACAAACACCCGTGTAATACACAGGTGTTGTACTAGTAAATTAAGAGAAC